CTCCACAAGTGGTCTCACCTACTTCGCGTCGCTAAGGTTACAGCATTCACGGACCATCAAGCCCTTACCCACTTACGGAAGCTCCAGACGTCCAAGCCCTTCGGGGGACGCACCGCCGGTGGTTAGATTTCCTCGCGGTGTTTCCTGATCTCACTATCACCTATCTACAGGGTGCGCGTAATACGGTGGCCGACGCGTTGTCGCGTCTTCCTTGTCATTCCTCTTCACACCCGTTCCCCCCTTCAGCCCATCTCCGCCTCCACTTATCTACAGGGTGCGCGTAATACGGTGGCCGACGCGTTGTTGCGTCTTCCTCTTCACAACCGTACCCCCCCACCCAGCCCATCTCCGCCTCCTCTCTCGGGGTCCTTTGCTCCGCTTATGTTAGCTCCTGCACACCCAGATCCAGCTCCTCACACCCGGGGGAAGCAGGCCAACTACCGGCAGTTGGCTAGCATTCGTCGTCGCCCGCCTCGGACTCGTCCGCAGTCTCCTGCCGTTTCGCTCAAGGCCCACGAGTCCCCTCTTGACGGCACCGAGCCATCCGCCATTCTCCCAGTGCAGCCTGCAGATTCCGCAACCCTGGATTGGCCGGCAACTTATGCGAAGTGTCTCCCCTACAACATGGCGGTTCAAGCAGTCAGTGCAACCGTCCAGATGGAATTCCGCAATCGCCTCCTAGCCTTCAGATTTGTCACCCCTTTCCTCAGCGTTTGCATACACGGCTTATGGAGTATATGTGCTCCGCAGTCTCCTGATTTCCTTACACACATTCTATATAACCACTACGATCACGTAACAGCAGGGCATCGGGGTCAGAAGAAAACGTCCCTATCTCTCAGCAAGCTTTACTATTGGCCCGGCATGCGCGCTTACACTACCGCCTACGTAAAGTCCTGTACGCAGTGCCGCGCCTCCAAGTCCCTCAACGACAAGCCTGCCAGCCTTCTCCAACAGTTGATTGTTCCCTCCCGTCGCTGGAGCCGCGTCAGCTTGGATTTCATTACCGACTTCCCGCTTACGAAGACGGGACATGACTCTGTCCTGGTGTTGGTAGACTCCCTTAGTAAGATGGCACACTTCTTCCCCGCGAAAAAGATATTCACAGCCGCAGATACCGTGGATGCTCTCGCCGATCGCCTTATTCGTTATCATGGGCTACCTGAGGCCCTCATTTCGGACCGTGATCTCCGTTTCCAATCAGATCTATGACAGCAGCTGTGTACGCGTTTTAACATCAAACGCGCTTTATCTTCCTCGTACCACCCCCAGAGCGACGCCCAAACTGAACGAGTAAACCGCACGCTCGAACAAATGCTCTGCACCTACATTCAATCTGACGAACGCGAATGGGAGCGATTATTACCTGCCCTAGAGCACGGGTACAACACCACTAGCCATTCTTCCACTGAGCTTTCCCCCTTCGAGGTCATGATTGGGGAGAAACCCCTGACCGCAGCGGATCTCGATGTCGTTAGTGCCCTCTCCCCTATCCTTACTCCGCCGATGACCAAGCTCTTCCGCCAGCTCTGCGACCGAGCGCAGAGTCATATCCTGAAGGCAAAAGGTCTACAAAGGCACTACGCAGACACCCACCGCCGCGAAGTGGAGTATGCGGTAACCCCACGGATCGGTATGAAGTCGATTACATCATGGACCAGCATTGGCCGGCGACGAGTTCCAATACCTTGTCAAGTGGCGGGGCTACCCGGAGGACCAAGCCACCTGAGAAACTGCTAGCCATCTGGACGGTTGCCCTGCACTGCTGCGCGCCTGGCGCCGCCGTCACCGGAACCGCCGTCCGCCCTGATCCGCCGCCCTCTTTTCCCTCGGGCACCCCACATCTTCCCTTTTCGCCAGCTGTCGCCCGCTTTCCGCCCTGTGGAAGGGAGGAACGGGGTGAAGAAGCACCCTATGTGGGGGTAGCAGGCTATCCACACAGCCAATGACCTAGCTTAGAGGCACACGGACGCGCATGTAGCGGTAAGTCATCACAACAAGCACCAGCACACTGTACCACCTGCAGGAAGGTCAATATCTACACCACGTTAGTGATAGTATTCATAGAGTCCCTGGTGGCGGCAATACTCAGGGGAGGTACCTATACTCTGAGACCTAGAGTGGCAAAATTACAAGGGTACTAAACAGCAAGGGAAAAATAGGAATAATTGCGTTAAAATTAGCCAGAAGAGATAGGGTGAATGTACTAGGAATGGCGTTAGAATAGCTGACGTAGAAACAGAGGTAGGAGCACCAGCTGAAATGCTAAGGCGCACTACCTCAACAGCGACGACAACAAAAAAAAATATAAAAGGGCTAGATAGAGGTCTAATTAGCTAGCCCGCAAGGTCCTAAGGCTTCCCATATAGTTGTTATCTACTGAACTAATAGTAAGA